CTTCAATTCCACTGACCCAGCCGCCTTGCCGTTTGCGTCCATTTTTCCTGGAAATTGAGTTAACTGACAACCAATGTCAGAGTGTGTGTGCGTGTGTGTGCGTGGGTGCGTGTCGCGATTTGCAGGGCCTCAATGGTGAAATCCACGTGGCCAGGGGTGTCAATCAAGTTCATGTGGAAGTCCTTGTGCCAGTTCAACCACTCGTGCTGGTGGTTGCAGAAATCCGGTGCTGCTCAAACACTCAAAAACGTCGGTGGAGCCAATAACATGGCCATTGGTTTCACGTCCTGATCGTCCGCTCTCCAAGAGCAGTAGGTCGCTGCTGAGGTGATCGTGATGCCTCACCAAGCGACCGCATGTCCGTCTGTCGACCATCCACATGGAAACAACGTATGGCCGAGCATCTCTTCCAATAACTATGGTCGAATGTCTTCAGGTGACGTGTCTGTTACCTTTCCTTGCGCGCACGGCTCTTTTTCACCTCGCATCTAGGCGAAAGCCAAAAGACCCAATTCCTCCTCTTCAATGTCCTGCCCAAGTGCTGCTCTGAATAAAAAGTGCTGATCTCTGTGCATTGCTCAGAATAGAAATTCCTGAAATGGCTTCGCCCACGTGGGTATTTCATTCTTTTGGTTCTTTTCAGCCAGCATTGTTGTTATACTTTCTAACAAAAGTCAGGTGTTCAACTCAAGTACTGGTTTAAAAGCATGATGTTGCTTGGCTTCCTGAAAGTAGTACTTAACAGCAGAACTCGAGTGGCATCCTTCCACAGTTCCACAGCACGTCCCACAGTGCCCTGCAGTCCATGGCGGTGTCCAAAAAGGGCTGCCGCCTCTGGAAGAGCAAGCCTCACTAGTAGGTTGGAGGGAGGATCAGTTGCTTTCTTCCTTCATGTGCACATAACTGATTACAGAGGTAATTTCGTTGAAGGCTGAAAGTCAATTCAACTTGAAAGGTCATCAACCACCAGGTATGGTGCCCCTGCTCCACTTGCGGTTTTTGGGCCCATCCTCGCATGAAGACGAAGGTGAAGACTACAATGAAGGCCCAGTTTGCCAAGAAGTAGGCAATGGAAAAGATCTCGGCAGGCATACTATCAGTCTCAACACTCAGGTTTGCCTTGCGGCTCAAATCAGCATTTAACTGTGGCGCTGTGTTGAGGGCCACCTTCCTCCTACCATTAGTGGCTCATCTCTCAGAAGTAGAACTCCAGTACTCCCCAAGCTCAAACAAACGCAAAAACATCAGCAAGGCGTTGTCTGTTGCCCTGTTTGACTATGATTATGATCAAACTGATTAAACCAACGAATCCTTGATTGAAATATGCACCCGCAAAGCACGGCATTAACATCTCTGTGGCTCCCAACGGGCATCGAAAGCGCCTCAGTCAGAAATGTTTGAGCCGATGTGTGGTCTCTGTCATGAGAATGAATGTTTCAGGGTTGCAAAGTCATTGGCCCCCGAGGTTGACATGACAACGTCTTTTCAATCAGTTCCAGGACAGATCAATCTACCACTTGGCTTCGATTCCAAGCCTGGGGGCAGCAGAAACTTATAAAAGTGCGAAACTGAAGGTGTGCACATGACGAGCACTAAGGCTTTGGCAATTTGGGTGAAGAATGTCGCGATGACAGACACCTGATCTGTATAGGTCCAACTTGTGGACAAAACCCATACCCAAACATGCATCGACAAAATAAGAACGTTGTGGAGATGATGGTCCACTTTTTGCTCAGAACACACCTCTAAATCGAAGTTCCTGTCATGTTCTCCTCCGCTCTCGTGCGTGTCCTCTCGGAAGTCCCTTGGATTTCCCTCAGCTTCCATGTCATCCTGTTCTTGTAGTCCAAAAGGACTACTGAAGATCTACTAAATACGAAAAGGAAAGAAGTTCGTCTTTTAGCATGGCAATGGTAGGAGTTGGCTTTGCAGCTGCACCTGGCAATGGCTCTGGTCTTCACTGGACCTCAATGTGCACCTTGCTGTCGCATCTAATCCACCTTATCCAGTTGGCTGACAGGCATGCTGTTGCATGCAGGACCAAAGTTGCATGGGACTGATGAGGAATTGTATTGAATTGTGTACACTGCACAATACATACATTAAAAAAGGAAAACATATATATATATATATATATTTATGCTCAAGTGAAAGCCTTTTGGCTGCACAACCAGCAATGGCAAAGGTTGTGGTGCAGTGACAATGAATTCACGTTCGAAATTAGGAATCAACCAATCAAATCATATCTACACCACAGCACACTCGTAAGTGGAGTGAGTTAGTTCTCAAGTCTCAGAACGAAGTAGAAGAACACCACAACCACCCCACCAGACGAGGGTCATAAAAGAAGAAACCACAACCAACTCCGCCCAGACGCTCGTCATTTGCGTAGCGAAGTAACAAAGTGCAAGAAGAAGTGTCGGTAGCGGGTTAACAAGGTAGAAGCGAGAGGAGAGAACCGCATAGTAATCAATGTTGCTCGGGCATCGTCCAAGTATTGACGGGCGGTACGCTGATCTTTCCAACGTCCTTGGATCATAACAAAATCTAGGGCTTTATGAACACCATAGAAGTGCGTGGCCCCTCCACGCCGCAGACTGTAGGGAACGAGATGAAAGGAAGTCAAATCGAAGAAATCGGCCAGCCCCGTAAAGCAAGAACGGAAATATGTGAGTGAATAGGGCCAAACTCGGCCACCGCCGGGAAGATGTTGTAGAAAGAAGGAAATGAGAACAACGAATAGTGGATCAGAATGAGCAACAAATTGTTGAAACTGCTTTGAAGATTTGGTAAAACCCAAACGCAGAACCACGGAGCCAGACGAATGGTCCAGGGTAATATCGGAAAAGAGCAGGGTCATGGTTTCTCCAATCCGCAAGAAGAAAACGAAGCTGAGGAGAATGGTCAGTCCCAAGTGGTACCAACGCTCACGAATACAAAGTCCAATAAACCCTTGAACGGTGTTCCAGGTGATCGGAGTGGCACGCCGCGGGGTGTGCTCACGGGTCCAGTTTGTGTACCATTGCTGTGAAGTTTGAAGTTCTTTACGGCAACGGGGGTACAGGCGCTTAAGGCCACTCAGAACCCAGCCGGCTCTTGAAATAGATTCCCCTTCCTGGTAAAGGAGGTTGATGTATTCGGCCAAATGGGAGTCAAGGTCATAGAAAGTTCTAGGCAAGTCAATTCCACATGCATCAAGGTGGTCAAGGAACAGTGAGACTTCCCTCTGGTAGATACGGATCGTTCGCCCTGCAATGCCCAAATCACGCAAATGTTTTTGACCTTTTGGCATGGTCAGTGCTCGAAGCGCCGACTGGGTCCGTCGGCGAAGTTCCATTTGGAAATCGTCCACAAGTGCACGGGCATTGCCTGAGACATCAGGATGAGTCCAAGGGAATGAAAGTCGTGTCTTCCACTGCCATTTGAAGGCAGGGTATGGAACCAGCAAGGTCTGGGAACCGTCTTCGGGTGTGGCTTCAAACCGGACCTCAGTCCCCCGAATGCACACTTCACGGAGTAGGCCACGGAGGTGGCGTCTTTCATGCCCTGGCCGCATTGTGCGCAGGACACGCATAACTTCTTCTGCGGCTGCATCTGCGACGTCTAGTCTTTGCAGCCCTTTTGTCGATCGCCTGAGAGCGGCCAAAATGGCCTCCTTCGGGTCCCAGGCCAGGTGGCCATGTGGGACACTCGTACGCTTCTGGAAAGCCTTTTTCAGCCCTGCAGCATAGGCTTGGCATAGCCCCCATGTGTACTCGGCCTCAATGGCGGTGTCAAACCGGAGTATCCCTTCTTCATCGTGCACCTCGTATGGAAGTAGGCCCTCGTGTCCAGGACAGGTGGGCCGATGTAGGGCCGTGTGCAACTCCTCTATATTATGCAACAAGCTCGTCCACTTTGTCCTTGCACCGCCGTAGCAGCAGGCTGAGAAGTAGGTGTGGAACACGTCATCTCTTGCTGCCAACTCACTGGCCTCGGGAGTGGACCAGAGATGAGAGCTGTATGGGTGCTCGAGGACGGCGAGTCGATCATTGTCAAAAGCCGTCTTCAACCCTCGCAGTGATCGCTTGGCCATGGTGTTGCCACGCCTGACTTGCACCTGTTCTGCCGGGCTCAGGTGGTCTAAACCCCATGGCTTCAATTCACTCCTCAAAGCCCGTGGTCCTGACAGCCAACGCCCACTCGTTGTGCGGATGGGCCGACCACGTGCTGCGGAAAAGGTCTTGCATTCTGGTCCATAGTGTTCACAAAGGAGCCCCGGCGCGCTCTCGTAGGCGTCTAGCCTTTGCTTGCCTTCGACTGTCGAATAATCCCATCGGTCATCATCTATCAGCAAGTCCAATGGTGGCTGGACTCCAATCCCGGCCAAGGCCACTGCCTTTGTCAGTGGAAAGTTTGGTCCACTGAACCTCTCCCCGAAAAGGGGGCAGGCGAACATGTCGCGGGCGCACCCGTGCTCACGATGCTCTATGGCACACCTTACCGAGCAAGACACACTTCCACAGCCAACTGCACAAGGATATTGCTTTCTTCCCTCCGAACGCGTCGGGGTTGTTGTGCTGAAATCATGACCGCAGTTATGGCATTTCCCTTCGAAGATCGCCATTGGGCCATGAGGGTCCGGTCCTGGTTTGAAGGCTGTCGCCGTTGCGCTACCGCCACCTGTAGGTGATGCATCGGTGCAGCTGATCTCAGGTGAGATTTTGGCCTTGAGATTCACTTGAGCGAGGGGCGATTGGATCATCAAGCACATGATTTCGTCAATCACCTCTGCAGTTGGTCCAATGGGGCCCTTCCTCGCTCTCTCAATTGCATCAAATATATTGGCCATCCCTGAAAACAGCGACCGCTTGAATGTTGCCATGAACGCGGTCTTGCCGGTCCAGTGCCTGAGGTAGAACTCTGACCAACGATGTCGGGACAGCTCCCTGCAAGCCACCAGCGAAGGCGTGGATCAGTTGCTTGCCCAGGTTACGAGGCAAGCCCGCTTCATCGCACGCTTCAATGAACTGTGCATGGTGTGGTGAGATCTCCACCCCTTCTTTTTGTAGCTCCAGGTCCAAGGTCTTGACCACGTGAATCTCATCAAAATTGTCCAGATACACGATGGTATAGATTTGTTCCTCCGGCAGACGCTTGTGCTTTTCGATGGAGTATTGGCGCGGGATCTTGGCCCGTTCAAATACCAAGGTTCTCACGGCCTCCTGAACCAATGCCACCGCTGAATGCCACCCCATTGGGACCACGCTCAAGGCAGGTCGAACCTGAGTCCCCGGCGGCATTCCAAAGGCGGCTGAATCCACTTTCTTGCTGTAGGAAAGGTAAGGGAGCCAACTGTCT